GCAATGGATGCAAATGACAGGGAAAGAGATTCCACCTCAACATTAGGAGGAATGTCTTGACAGTAAGACCTGTTTGACAGGGGAACACGCTCCCTCAATGGAGATTTTGGTGGAGTCTCCTTCTTTGGAGGTCTTTAACCAGAGGCTGGATGGCCATCTGGCAGGGATGCTTTGATTGGGAGTTCCTGCATGGCAGAATTGGGTTGGACTGGGTGGCCCTTGGGGTCTCTTCCAACTCTATGATTCTATGATTCTATGAAATTGTTATGGGGCTGGACCCACAATTGCTAATGCCTAAAGTCTCCTTCTCTGCGGGTCTTTAAAGAGAGGCTAGATGGCCAGGGATGCTTTGATTGTGAGTTCCTGCATGGCAGAATGGGGTTGGACTGGATGGCCCTTGGGGTCTCTTCCAACTCTAGGATTCTATGAAGGAACCCCACAGTCCCTGAAGAAGAAGGCGCAGGAGCACAGGGTGGCAAAGACCACGGGGATCCGCCAGGCCACCCGGCCCCAGACTCACCAAAAATGGCCTCCTGGCAGGTATAGCCGCAGTCTCCTGGGCAGCACTTCTGGGTGCCTGGGCATTGGGAGTCGTTGGCACAAGTGGAGCAAGTCCCATTCTTCTGGCAGGCGCTGCAGTCCTTCTCATCGAAGACGTCTCCCAGGGGAGGAACGTTGTAGCAGTAGCCAGCCTTGGCTGCAAAAGGAAACGCAGTTAGCTGATGGACCAGGTTTTCCAAATAACAATAACGGACAGTTCGGGTTCAAGACACAAAGTGTTGGAGCGATGAGCAAGTAGGTGCTCCGCCTGAATACGAAAAGAAAGTACTGGTTTCTGTGAACTTCAGGGTGAGCAGGTGTCCTAACTGCCAAGGAGGACAAGGCTCCGCAAAATGTAGGGCATTACCAAATAAGCGCTGAAAACCCTGATAGAAATATCGATCCATGCTTCTTAGTCATGCTCAAAATGGAGGACATTTTGGAATTCCTCCTGGAAAAAAGTAGGACAGGTCCTGGGAAAGGAGGATGCCTGGTTCAGACATTGCATGGTGCACACATTTCTGTCTTTATGGAGGGTCCTCAACCCAAAATATGGGAATTGTTGGCCTATATAAAAGGAAAGACTTCCCTGCCCTCGAATAGGGGGCATCCCATATAATAAGGGACCCCTGCTATTGCCAGCCCTAAAAGGGCCAAGCTTTCTAGCCCTCCAACAAGGGGCATCGCTTCTACGTAATAAGAGACTCTTGAGGGCCCTATAAAGGACAAGCTTTCTGGCCCTCAAATCAGGGATGTCTAGTACTAAAAGATACTAGCCAGTCCTATAAGGGACATGTTTTCTAGCCCCCAAATAGGGGATATCCCTGATAATAAGGGACCCCTGCCAGCATCTGCTTCCAAAAGCAGATCTGGGTGGGCAGTTAAATAAATAAAATGATGATGATGATGATGATGATGATGATGATGATGATGATGATGATCCCAAAAGCACAGGCAGTGTCTCCCAGCATTCCTCGGCACTGTCTTTGCTGCTGTAGCAGGCTGCTGGGAGTTACAGTCCAGCAACATCCAGAGTGCCAATAATTGCTGCTATTGCATTGAGAGCCAATGTGGCGTAGTGGTTGGAGCATCAGACTAGCACTCTGGGTGACCAGTGTTCGAATCCCCACTCAGCCATGGAAACCCACTGGGTGACCATGGGTCAGTCACACACTCTCAGCCCCAGAAAAACCTAAGGTTTGCCTTAGGGTCTCCATAAGTTAGAAAGGATTTAAAGGCACACAACAATGAGAGCAACAAGCTAGCTAGCCCAATGAGGGACAGGTATTCCAACCTTCAAACCAGGAACATCTCTTATAATAAATAATAAGGGACACCTGGCTGCCCAATTTTCAGTCCCTGCAGACTGATAAGAGTTATCAGAGGAAGGCAACCAGCTGGGAACATGGAGGCATCTGAAAATGCTTCCTTGGACGAAGGTGAAGCTCCAGGAGCTCATGATGGGGTCCATGGCATGGAGGAGAGGGGACCATGGCTG